GCAGAGGCCGCGGCCGCCCGCGGCAGCGCCCCCTGCCGACGACGCGCTCTCTGCACCTCCCAACCAAGATCAAGTGTGTTTGCAACAGGGTAGAGAAAAAAAATTAGCTATGCTTTTATCTGAAAAGTACTTCAGGAAGGAAAGTTCCTTTCTATTTTTCCCTTTTTTACGATTTGTATTTGCGTACATTTTTAATGATCTTGGGATGAAAAACCAGCCTGCAGGGTGTTCTCTGTATGCTTCTGACTGTACTTGTGTTGTGACCATGTTCATTTACATCTCAGAGGAGAAAAAAAACTGTAAAAGAGCAAAATCAACAACAACAGAAAATCTTGCATCAAGTGTTCCTCTTTTTTTTTGTTTGTTTGTAGTTAGCTGTAAAGTAAGTTTTTGGTTTGTTTGGTAGAGTGGGCTAAGCATCTGCTTGTGGTGCCAGAATCCCATCTGCATGCCAGGTTCGAGTCTCACATACCCCTCTTCTAAGCCAGCTCTCTGCAATGGCCGGGGAAAGCATTAGAAAGGGGCCCCAAAGCTCAGACCCTTGCACCTGCATGGGAGAGATGGGAGAAACTCCTGGCTCTCAGCTACAGCTCTTTAGGCCATTTCCAGAGGAACTAGCAGAACCAAGATCTTTCTCTGTTTCTCCCTCTGTCTGAAACTCTATCTCTCAAATAAAGAAAATTCCCCCACCACAAACCAAAAGATTGTTCTTTTTTCTTTTTTTGTCTATGAAGTTTCTGTTTACTTTTTGCTTTTGGTCTTTGATGTACTTGTGAAACATGTTATCCAACAAGAAACCAGAATTTTATTTTCTTGTGTTGTTCTAAAAAAAGTATAAGACATGTAGATTAGAATATGGGTAGAGGTCTTATCCAGTGTTGCTGGAATATATGTTACTACATCCATTATGGAAAACAATGGAGAGGTTTTATCCAAGCTAAAAATTTAGCTTTCCTCAGAATAGTATAAGAAATAATTATCAAAGGAATAAAGCCATTTTAAATTAAAACTGCTATAGATCCTGCAATCCCTATCCTGGGTATAAATCCAAATGAATGAAATCTCTGTGTAGAGAGAGAAGGCGCCCCATGAATAATTGTACAGCAATGCTGACTCATAGTGCCAATGTATGGAAACAGTGTAAGTACCCATCGGCAGACAGATGAGTGAGTATGTGCTATCCATATGAAATATTATATCTCTAGGTTGCTATGTGGCCATGAGGCTTCCTCATAAGTTTATGGAAAAACAAGATTTACACAAATTAATTTCATATATGGAATTTCATTTATTTATTTAATTTATGGACACATAGGATGGTGAGAAAGAGAGAGAGAGAGACAGACAAAGAGTGGGAGAGAGAGAGGGAGAGAAGGAGAGAATTTTTCATGTGCTGGTTTCCCTCCCAAATGGCTGAATGGCAGGAGCTTGTCAACACAAAAGTCAGGAGCCTGGAATTCCATGGAGGGTGATTACATGATTAATACAGGCAGATGAACTTGGATCATCATCTGAAGCTTTGGCAGGCATAATAGAAGGGAGCTGAATCAGAAGCAAAGCAGCCAGAACTTGAATGCACATCCCTTTATTCAATGATGCTGTTCCAAAATGGGGCTTAAATCACAATGCCGCAATGTGGCCTGCCCTGTTACAATTTTTAATCTATGCAGATATTTTGCATAATGCATGTGTTCCACAGACTCATTTTAACTCAAATTTATTAACTAATTTAGAGATGGGGGAGAGAGAGAGAAGGAGAGGGAGATCAAGAGATGCACACAGAGACACAGAGGGACAGAGAGGTCATATCTGCTGGTTCATTGTCAAAAACCTCTTTAGTTAGAGTTGGGACATTGACTCCAGGAGCTGAAATCTCAATCTAGGTTTCTCTTGAGAGTGGCAGTGTTTCAACTACCTGAGTGTTCATTTCTTTGAAGAATTATTTATTTTATTTGAAAGGCAGAGCTACAGAGAGACAAAGACAGAGACAGAGAGGGCAGAAAGAGAGAGCAAGTGAGAAAGAGAAAGAAAGAACAACCAACAGCTGGTTCATCCCCCAAATGGCCATAATGGCCACAGCTTGGCTGCTCCAAAGCTGGGAGACAGGAGCTTCTTCTGGGTCTCCCATGAGGGTTCAGAGGTCCAAGTCCTTGGGCCATCCTCTGCTACTTTCCCAAGTGAACAAGCAGGGAGCTGGTTCAGAAGTGGAGCAGCTGGGACTCAGGCAGTGGCTATACCTGGTATGCCACAGTGCAGAAATGGAGTTGACACTTTTGTATCCCAGGACATGCATTAGCAGGAAGTTATAATCAGGGGTCTGATTGGACTAGAAACCAGGCATCCTGAAATGAGCTCGGGTTTCTAATCTCCTTGTTTAACTTTTAAGTGAGATATAAGCCCCATAAAGGCTCTGAAGTTCCATTGATTTTACAGATACACACACTGGAAGGACACAGTAGGAAGTCACAGAGCAATAAGGTATGATCATGGCCCAGGTTTCCTCCTCAGCCAGACTGTGGGTGCTGAACACCCCTGCAGAGCATCGTGGGCTCCCATGGTGACTGGGGAGAGCAAGTGTGTGGTTAGCTACCCATCTTATCCAGGTGGACATTCTACTCCCTAGGTGCCCAGGAATTAATGCCTGACAAGGTTTTATTTTTGTTCTTTATGGATTTCTTTAATAGTTGCAAGTCAGAGTTACACAGAGAGAGGAGAGGCAGAGAGAGAGAGAGAGGCCTTCCATCCAATAGTTTATGCCTCAATTGGCCTTAAGGGCTGGAGCTAGGCCTATTGGAATCCAGAGGTCAGGGGATTCTTCCGGGTCTCCCACGAGGGTACAGGGGCCAAGGACTTGTGCCATCCTCTGCTGCTTTCCCAGGTCACAGCAGAGAGCTGGATAAGAATTGGAGCATCCAGGTCTCGAACCAGTGCCCAAATGGGATGCTGGCTCTTCAGGCCAGGGTTTTAACATGCTGAGCCACAGTGCCAGGCCTGCACTGATTAGGGTTGTTTTGTTTTTTTTTTTTTTTGTTTGTTTGTTTGTTTGTTTTTGACAGGCAGAGTTAGACAGTGAGAGACAGAGAGCCAGAAAGTTCTTCCTTTTCTATTGGTTCACCCCCCAAATGGCTGCTATGCCAGCATGCTGGGGTCGGACCCTGAGCTGATCCAGAGCAAGGAGCTTCCTCCTGGTCTCCCATGCATGTGTAGGGCCCCAGGGCTTGGGCCATCCTCCACTGCCCTCCCAGTCTACAGCAGAGTGCTGGACTGGAAGAGGAGCAACCGGGACAGAATCCAGAGCCCACCCAGACTAGAATCTGAGGATTAGCCAAGTGAGCCAGGGCTCCAGCCCTAATTAGGTTTTAAAAACACCTTCAGGTGGTGACTGATGAGATTGTAACCAGACATTGTAACCTGATGAGTGAATGTGCTATCCATAAGAAATATTATATTTCCAGGAGTAAGAAGATTCTTCCGGGGCACCCACGTGAGTGCAGGGGCCCAAGGGCTTGGATCATTTACTAATGCTTTCCCAGTCACAGCAGAGAGCTGGAAAAGTATTGGAGCAGCCAAGTGTTGAACCAGCATGCATATGGGATGCTGGTGCTTCAGGCCAGGGTGCTAACCTGCTGAGCCACAGTGCCAGGCCTAGACTGATAAGGTGTGAAACAAACACCTTCAGGCAGAGACTGAAGAGATTGTACCAGACACCCTCAGGTGATCTCACTTAATCTAATTTGGCACAATGGAATGCCTTTTTTCACATCTCACATACCTTTGAATATTAACATTTATGTTGTGAACCTGACACAATTGATTTTTTGATATTGTCATTGCTGAACGGCTAGACTTCTTGGTTGTTTCTATAAAATTTAATCCTACTGATTATTCTCTTCATATGGAAAACATTTCCTTTTATCTCTTCCTTACTTTTACTGATGTCTTTACTCATTTGAAAGGCAAACCTATGTGGAGGCAGAGGCAGAGAGAGAACGTTCTTCCATCTGATGGTGCACTCCCCATATGGCTACAATGGCAGGAGCTGAGCCAATCTGAAGCCAGGAGCCAGGAGCCTCCTCCTGGTCTCCCACTTGGGCGCAGGGGCCCAAGGACCTGGGCCATCCTCCACTTCTCTGCCAGACCACAGCAGAGAGCTGGATAGGAAGTGGAGTAGCTGGGACAGGAACCGGCATCCATGTGGCATGCCAGCACTTCAGGTGGCAGCTTTACTGGCTATGCCACAGCACCGGATCCAAGTGGGAAACTGTTCTAGAAATGTCAACATGCAGCTTGTTTGATTCTGCAGCTGGAAATCTAGGCAGGGTCTTATTGACACTTTTGGGTGGTAATTGGGTGTGGGGAGCAACTCGGACTAGACTAAGTTACTGGAATTAAGACTTATTCTATGCATCTGCTCTCCCACAATATGGCGCTGGGAGAGGAGGAAACAGCTTCTACACAGCTGCCTCCAGTTCAACCAATAAACTGTAGGACCTGCTCCTGATTGGAGGAGAGCAGCATACTCGGCATTTGCGTAGCAGAGTTGGGATTGGTGGAAGAGGACTATAAAGGAGGAGCGAGACAACATGCACCAGGAGCATCTATCTGAAGGAACATCTAAGAGGAACACCTGTGCAGCCCCCGAGAGAGCTGGCCGGCGGTATGCAGCTCCCCCGCGGAAGTGGGGAAAGTGGCAGGGGGCCCGCCCCTCCACGGAGGTGGAGGGACAGTAGCCAACCCAGGAAGAACCAGCAGCAAACCCGGGGAGGGCCGAGCAGACAAAAGAACAACGCAGGGTCCTGTGTCATTCCTCCACGAAGACGGGGAGCGACATAATGGTGCTGTGACTCGGATAGGAAACCTAGGAGGGAAGAAACGGGAAGAAGTGGGAAAATACTAGCAAAGAGCCTAGGGAAAAGCCGGATGGAAAAGGTGCCGGAAGAAGCTATTGAAAGCCTAGGCATAGACTCGGATATGGACTGTGGGAAAGAAGTTAGGATTTTATGAGCAACACTACCGTCGTCCCCAGCACTGCGGGCCCAGGCCCCAGCGGCGGGCCCGGTGGCGGAGGTGGTGGTGGCGGCGGCGGAGGCGGCGGCACCGAGGTAATCCAGGTGACTAATGTCTCCCCGAGCGCTAGCTCTGAGCAGATGCGGACTCTCTTCGGTTTCCTAGGCAAGATCGACGAACTGCGCCTCTTCCCGCCAGATGATTCACCTCTGCCAGTCTCATCTCGTGTGTGCTTTGTTAAATTCCATGATCCAGACTCAGCAGTTGTGGCACAGCATCTGACAAACACTGTATTCGTTGACAGAGCTTTGATAGTCGTACCATATGCAGAAGGAGTTATTCCTGATGAGACTAAGGCTTTGTCTCTGTTGGCACCAGCTAATGCAGTGGCAGGTCTTCTGCCTGGTGGTGGACTCCTGCCTACCCCTAACCCTCTTACCCAGATTGGCGCTGTTCCTTTGGCTGCTTTGGGAGCTCCTACTCTTGATCCTGCCCTTGCTGCACTAGGGCTTCCTGGAGCAAACTTGAACTCTCAGTCTCTTGCCGCAGATCAGTTGCTGAAGCTCATGAGTACTGTTGATCCCAAGTTGAATCATGTAGCTGCTGGTCTTGTTTCACCAAGTCTGAAATCTGATACCTCTAGTAAAGAAATAGAGGAGGCTATGAAAAGAGTACGAGAAGCACAGTCCCTGATTTCTGCTGCTATAGAACCAGATAAGAAAGAAGAAAAAAGAAGGCATTCAAGATCAAGATCACGTTCCAGGAGGAGGAGGACTCCTTCATCTTCTAGGCACAGGCGATCAAGAAGCAGATCAAGGAGGCGATCACATTCTAAGTCAAGGAGTAGACGACGATCCAAAAGTCCAAGACGGAGAAGATCTCATTCCAGAGAGAGAGGTAGAAGGTCAAGGAGCACATCAAAAACCAGAGACAAAAAGAAAGAAGACAAAGAAAAAAAACGTTCCAAAACACCACCAAAAAGTTACAGTACAGCCAGACGTTCTAGAAGTGCAAGCAGAGATAGACAACGACGACGAAGCAGGAGTGTAACAAGATCTCCTAAAAAACCCAGGTCTCCTAAACGAAAATTGTCTCGCTCACCATCCCCTAGGAGACATAAAAAGGAGAAGAAGAAAGATAAAGACAAAGAAAGAAGCAGAGACGAAAGGGAACGATCAACAAGCAAGAAGAAGAAAAGTAAAGATAAGGAAAAGGAACGGGAAAGAAAATCAGAGAGTGATAAAGATGTAAAACAGGTTACATGGGATTATGATGAAGAGGAACAGGGATATGACAGCGAGAAAGAGAAAAAAGAGGAGAAGAAACCAGTTGAAGCTGGTTCACCTAAAACTAAGGAATGTTCTGTGGAAAAGGGAGCTGGTGATTCGCTAAGAGAATCCAAAGTGAACGGGGATGACCATCATGAAGAAGACATGGATATGAGTGACTGAATGCTGCCTCTTTGGGACTCCAACTGTATACATGCATCAGTGTCATTCCTTTGTGTGATTTCTTAATGCTGTATTTGTTCATCTCAAACCTAGATGTATACAGCTGAGTTATAAATGGTTATAAAGCTTCTGACATTGATATTAGTTATTTACATCAAAAAGCTTTTAGAAAAATGGTACATGGGTAAACAATTCTTGTCATGGTGAAATCTGACTGAGTAAGCAGTTTTACTATTCTAGTGCTGCTTCTTAAATACAAATGAAAAGCTGCATGCATCTACAGCAGGCATGGATTGTTTATGTTGTATGATCTCCTTTCTTAAGTAAGTTCTCTTAGAGTATTTCTAGAATTTGATTCATTGCCATAATAGAGCCATGTAGGGAATGCACTGATTGCATGTTACTGTGGCAAGAATATCCTAAATGTCATTAAAATCTTCCAACATGATGGATCTACTTATGGTCTTGTTTGTTGACATGACAAATTAACATTGTTAGATTACATCTGGAAATGAGCATTTGAGATAGATAATCCTTTGAAGCCTTATGGCTAAATTTTTGTGGCTTTCGTTTAACTTTGAAAGGTTGTCTGTATATGCACTAACCTTTTTTGATGGCTAATTAGGCTTTAATTACAGAAATAAGATTTCAAATAAAACTGTCTTTGGCAGTGAGTAAATAGCTTATTTTGAAGTAGAGTTGTATGCTTTTTCATAAGGTGTTTGGGGATTTTTTTTTCTGAAATAATTTATTCCACATCTACATCAGTGAAAGCTCTCCAACTATTCGGAGTTCATCTGTAAAATAAAGTTCTCTCTTGTTCTGATTTTCAAAGTTTTAAACTCATTGATGAAAAAGAGGGTAGTGCATTTTAAATTGACCTTCATATGCTTTTAAAATAAGACAAATCTACTTGATAATGTACTTTTTATTTGATCTCAAGATGTATAAAACCAATAAATTTGTGTTAACTATTACTGCAGTAGTAATCATATGCACACAGTGATTCCATGTTATATGCAAAGTAGTTAGGCAACTGTTCCTAGTTACAGGAGTTTCAAGCTTCACTTTTGTGCAGCAAATACAAAAGTAGGCTACAGTCTGTGCCATGTTGATGTACAGTTTCTGAAATTGTTTTACAAGACTTTGATAATAAAACCCTTAAACTTAAAAAAAAAAGAAGTTAGGATTTAAAGTGAAAGCAAGAAGAAACTTAGACTCAGATACGGACTGCAGGTTGAAAGCGAAAGTGAAACCTAGAAGGAACACCACGGACTGTGGGGAGAGGCCAGGAGAAATGAGAGGGGAATATTGTTGTTGGAAGAAAAGTTAGGGAAACATACCGGGTAGAGAAAAATGTTAGGGAAATTGAAGCCGCGGGGGCAGGCCGAGGCGAAGACATAAGCTATCTTGGAATTCTTCAAGTCAGCCCGGGGAGCAAAAGGCGAAAATCTGGAACCAGAGGCAGAGACGTGGGCCACCAGGTTGGAATTCACCAGGTTAGCCCAGGGAACTTAGACTGAATGCCGGTGGCAGAAACGTGAGCTGAGCTGTGTGACTCGCAGAAGCCGCCGCGCGCAGAGAGAGCGCGCGGGGCACAAGTCGGGAGAGCGCACGGGGCATGGATAGATAGGGAACGTGGGGCTAGCGCGAAGGCCGTGGTGCGGGCGCGAAGGCCATGGAGACCGCGGAGCACGCGCAACCGAGCCGCGCAGAGCCGGGAACACGCCGCAGGGCGAGGCGCCGAGAAGCAGCCTCGGGGCGGGCGCCAGGATGCCACAGGGATAAGAGAAACAGAAGTTTAGAAGTAAAATGAGAGAAATAGGAATGCTGGCAGATAGAAGTAAAATAGGAGAAATAGGAATGCCCGGAGATAGAGAAATAGAGAAAAATAAGGCCTCCCCACAACACGGCAATGAGAGAGCTTGGATTCGGTCTGCCTGATTAGTAAGACGATAAGCACCTGTGGGCGGCTGCAGGTCACCGAAGACAGGCACGTTATCAACATCAATAAGTCTCCCCATAAGACGGCAATGAGAGGGCTTGGATTCGGTTTGCCTGATAGGGCTTGTAAGCACCTGCAGGCAGTTCTAGCAGAGCGGAGCATGCACTGCAGGGCACCGAACACAGCCACGCATCAGCGCCTAAAAACCTCCTCACAACATGGCGAAGAGAGGACCCGGATTCGGTTTGCCTGATTGGTAGGGCTTGTAAGCACCTGTGGGCAACTCTAGCAAGCAGAGCAGAGTGTGTGCCACGGGGCACTGAAGACAGGCGCGTATCAATGCCAAAAATAAAAGGAAAGGGGGATCTGTGGGGAGCAACTCGGACTAGACTAAGTTACTGGAATTAAGACATTCTATGCATCTGCTCTCCCATAATATGGCGCTGGGAGAGGAGGAAACAGCTTCTACACAGCTGCCTCCAGTTCAACCGATAAGCAGCAGGAGCTGACTCTGATTGGAGGAGAGCAGCGTACTCGGCGTGTGGGTAGCAGAGTTGGGATTGGTGGAAGAGGACTATAAAGGAGGAGAGAGACAACATGCACCAGGAGCATCTATCTGAAGGAACATCTAAGAGGAACACCTGTGCAGCCCCCGAGAGAGCCGGCCGGCGGTATGCCGCTCCCCCGCGGAAGTGGGGAAAGTGGCAGGGGGCCCGCCCCTCCACGGAGGTGGAGGGACGGTAGCCAACCCGGGAAGAACCAGCAGCAAACCCGGGGAGGGCCGAGCAGACAAAAGAACAACGCAGGGTCCTGTGTTGTTCCTCCAAGAAGACGGGGAGCGACAATTGGGCTGGTAGAGATGGGGTCCAGTCCCCTACCTTTTGTCCCAGTGTCCTCTCACACTGTATTTCTGCACTGGACACTAAAAACGAACCTTACATTCGCGTCACACCACCAGCACCACCACAGGTGAAAACTGATGCGTGCACTGGTGATTGACAGGATAAAGGAATTCCTCCCTCCAATAGGCATGAGCCCCGCCCTCAGGAGGGGCTTTAAAAGGCAGATGGAGCAGGGCTATCCTCCCTCTCTGCACACTTGAGCCTGGAACCTTGAACTTCAGGATGGCACAGGAAAGTGCAGACCAGGAAGCTCTTGGGCTCTCAGTTGAGCTGCCCTCTCCCCACAAAGGTCTTTTCAAGATGGGGGCACAGATGAAGAGGAGCAACCACCACAAGGACAAGGTGAGACACTGTTTTCTGATTTCCCTGAGAGCTGCCTGCAAAGGCAAGGTAGGTCCTTGGGATGTCAGGGTGAGTGCGGAAGGTGGTTTGGAACCTGGCAACTGGTCTGTGTGTGTGATAGAGGGTTTCATTTTGAAGTGGGAAATGGGAAATAGCTGGTAGCTCCAGGGGCCTAGTGAGAAATGTGGCAGCAATGAACCTATGGAACTCTAATGTGCTCATTTCCCTTTGATGCTGGCTTAACTGGCTCAGCCAACAGGATGCCAGAAACTTGAAATCTGAGACAAAACGGGGCCAGGGGACAAAATGCATACATGTTATTAGTTTTTCAATCTCATGACCAATATCTGAGACATGTAACTAAAGAAGGAACGTTTCTTTCAAACCACATTTTGGAAATTCACAAGAAAAGTCTTCATGTCCCTAATAGTTCATGGCCCGACTGCTCTGGCATTTTACGAGGAGTATGGCAGAAAGGAGTGTGGAGGAAAACTCACATGACAATCCAATCTGTCAGGGAGCTTGCTGTGCACGTGATCTCTCCTTATTCAGATACCAAGCTTCCCAACATCACCCAGTCTAAACATTGTCCACGTCTCAGGTTATTCCCCACCCTTGATCCATTTCTATTTTCATTAGATTTCCCCTTAATGATTTTTCTTAAAGAGATTTATTTATCTGAAAGAGGTACACAGAAGGAGAAGCAGAGTTTGAGAGAGATCTTCCACCTGCTGGTTCACTCCCAATTGGTAGCAACATCCAAAGCTGTGCTCGTCAATAACCAGGAGCCAGGAGCTTCTTCCACATCTCCTTCAAGGGTGCAGGGGCTCAAGCACTTGAGCTATCTTCCCCTGCTTTCCCAGGCCATAGCAGAGAGCTGGATTGGAAGTGGAGCAGCTGGGACTCGAACCAGTTCTGTAATGGGATGGCAGCACTGCAGACCGTGGGTTTTCCTTCTATGCCACAGAGCTGGCCCCTTCCCCTTAACACTTGAAGTATATAGTTCGATTTTGTAGACAAAGAGATTCACAAACAACCTTTGGAGGACACAAATTTTATACACGTGGGGAATTTTTATTTTATTTTGTGGGGAAACTCAGTCATACGTACTCTCTTTTGATGGAGGATCAAAGCCCAGTCCACATGAGGAGAAGTCCCAGGAAAGGAAGCTCAGAGGCAGAAGCAGCGTGGCCAGAGCAGGTCGGTTCAGACTCACCTGGAGCGAGAAGGTCATAGGGTGCTGTGGCACAGTCTTCTCTGGGAGACAGGGGCCCTGAGACCAGATGGGTCAGCAGCACCTCAGAGATGCTGGGGTACGGGGACCAGAGGGGAAGGGAGCACTGGTGGGAGGTGCTGCTCCCTGTGTCCTGGATAGACCTGGGCTGTGGCTGTGCCTTTGGAGGCAGGCACTCCAACTCCCTGTGTTTTGCAGAATCAGAGTCCAGCTGTGACGGGGTGAGCTCCAGGAAGAGGCAATCAGTTCTGAGGACAGCAGCCACACGATGACAAGTAGCATCGTGCTTTCTCTACCTAGAGGGTCAGGACCAGGGAGCTTATCCAAGGTTGGGAAGGGAGGGGTTGTCAGAGATTGAGAGCAGTTTAGAGATCCCGAGAGCATGTGAGGGGGAGGATGGGTGCTGCCTGGGTTCCTGCTGGAGTCCATTGTGGGGAAGGAAGTGCAGGATTCGGTGGGGTTCACGTGAAGGGGGCAGGACTTAGGTTTTAGGGCCCAAGGAGCTGTGCTGAGTGTCTCCCGTGTGTCTCTGCAGGCAGCTGTGTGCAAGAGCTCAGCGTGACTTTGCAAAAGAAAGCAAAACCTTCAGACGATGGAAATGACAGAGGAATTCAGGAGGCGCATGTGGAACCTCGCAGGGGATCCTCCAGGGCCCGCCCTGGGCACAAGAGGATGCACAGTTCCAGGTCCCCAGCAGACCATCCACCGCCCCTTCGGAAGAGCCTGGTAACCTCCCTGCGCTCTGTGTCTGAGGTCATTTATGAAGATTTAGCCCGGGTGCAGGCGCAGCAGGCGCAGTTCCCGCTGACCCAGGAGCAGCTATTTGCTCTGGCACAGCTCCACGGGCATATATGCAGTGTCATGCAGAGCTGCTATGCGCTGGCCTCGCAGGCGGCCTGGGCCTTCCCTGCCCAGGGCTGGCTCCTCCGGGTCCAAGCCCCGGCTTCGGCCTCGGCCCCAGCCCCGGCCCTGGAGCGCATGCCTGCTGTCCAGTCGCGGGCACCTGCTCAGAGCTCCTCCCAGGA